TTCTTAGAGGAGATCGGCCATGGAGGCTCGTCGGTGGTGCGCGTGTGCCGGCATCGCGCCACGGGGGAGAGGTTCGCGTGCAAGAGCATTCTCAAGGACAACCTTCGCTGCGCCGCTGACGTGGCAGACGTCCGAAGAGAGATCGAGGTGCGGAAGCACAACAATTTCATGCATTTTTTCCCGCGGCCCGTCTTGCTGGTCTTGTCAAGCGAGGGCTCTTTCCCGACATTAGTAGCGTATGGAGCACAAGTAAGCGGGTCATCATCCGGACTGGCAAGGCACCTGCTTGCTGATCGCGCCTGAGGCTCACATCGAACATCAACACCCGTCCCTTCTCGCCATAATGTACCACTGTACCTCCTCCATTCCCCCTCTCCCTCCCCATCTCCCCCCCCCCCCCTCACCCAAACACATTCTTCCCCCTCTCCCCCCCCCCGGTGGTTGGGCAGGTGTTGGAGCAGCTGGGGCACCACGCGCACATCGTGCAGCTGCACGCCACCTTCGAGGACATCTCAGCCGTCCATCTCGTCATGCAGCTCTGCCACGGCGGCGAGCTCTTCCACGAGATCGTGCGCCGCGAGCGCTTCTCCGAGGCGGACGCCGCCGTCGTCTTCCGCCAGCTGGCGGAGGCGGTGGCGTTCTGCCACGCGCGCGGCGTGCTGCACCGCGACCTCAAGCCCGAGAACATCCTGCTGCTGCACCCCGTGGCGGACGGGGAGGGGGGAGGCGGGGCGGATGGGGGAGATGGGGGAGCGGGGGAGCGGGGCAGTGCGGCGGTGGCGGCGGTGGAGGATTGGAAGCCGCGGGAGCAGGCAGACGAGGAGGGGAACGACGGCGGGCTGTCGCCTCTCGAGCAGCAGTGGCCGGGGTCGTCCGTCACCCCTCCCAACCACTCCCCACACACCTCTCAATCCAGCACGCCCCCTCCCGGCAATCTGCTCCGCCACTCCTCGCTCCCCTCCCCCTCCTCCTCCGCCTTCCCCACCTCCCCCCTCCACTGCCTCCCCACCATTGCAGATCCTTCCACAACCCCTCCAACGTCCCCTCCCCCTTCCGCCTCTGCCTGTCCGCCCTCCTCCTCCCCTCCGCCGCCCCCGCTCCACGTGAAGCTGGCGGATTTTGGGCTGGCGCTGCACCTAGGACCGGGGGAGCGCGCGCAGGGCTTCGCAGGGAGCCCATTCTACGTCGCGCCAGAGGTGCTGGCGCGGCGTTCCTACGACACGTCAGCAGACATGTGGAGTCTGGGCGTGGTGCTGTACTCGTTATTAGCAGGCGACCTGCCTTTCGTGGGCGACACAGAGAAGAAGGTGTTCCGCGCCATCACCAAGGGGCGCCTCAACCTGCAGGCGCCCCCCTGGCCGTCCGTCTCCGCGCCCGCCAAGGCGCTCATCCGCCGCCTGCTCGACCCCGCCCCCGCCTCGCGCCTCTCCGCGCCCCTCCTGCTGCAGCACCCCTGGCTCGCGCACACGCCCCTGCCCCCTGCGCCCGCGCTGCCTGTGCCGCAGCCTGTGGGCGCGCGCGAGGGGGAAGCGGCGCCCATGGGCGCGAGCCCAGGGAGGCCAGGGACGGACTGGAGTGACGAGCGCGCTAGCAGGGCAGGCGGGGCAGGTCGGCCAGCGAGTGCGGGAGGGCGCGTGGCAGCGCTGCAGGTACCGGACCCTCACCACCCCGCGCCTCAGGCCGCCCCCCAGTCGCCACGCACGCCCTCCCCCCGCCGCGCCCCCCCACCCGTGTCCGCTGCTCGTTCTGCTGCGTCTGCTGCTGCCTCCGCGCTGAGGAGGGCCGCCAGACATGCCGTGTCAGGCGGCCCTGCGGGCGGGGAGGGGGAAAGCGAGGGCCCAGGGGATGGCGCGGGGGAGGCCAGCGGTCTGCACAGTGGGGCGGGTGGGGCGAGCGGGGCAGCAGGGACAGGGAGGACAAGCAGCAGTGTGGGCGGCAGTGCGGGCAACACGCCAAACAGTGCTGTGCGGAGCCTGGCAGCGGCGTTTGGGAGGAGCCCAGGGGCGAAGACAGAGAGCGCCAAGGCAGAGGGGGGGAAGGGCGGGTCAGGGCAGTCGGGGGGGGTGGGCAGCGGCACGAAGCGCATTGTGAAGGCGCTCTTCCGCTCGCTCTCCTCCCTTGCTTCTGACTACCGCCGCGGCCGCCTCTCCTCTCTGGGGCTGGGCGGGGGCACTGCAGGCGCGGAGGGGGAGGGCGGGGGGAAGAAGGCGGGAGCTTGGGGTGACTGGGGCAGCGCCAGTGGCAGTGGCGGGGCGAATGGGGCGAAGGCGGGGAGTAAGGGGTCAGGGGCGAGCAGAGTGAAGGAGTGGAGTAGCGGTGCAGATGCACGTGTGCCAGGGCGAGCCAGCTTTAGCAGCAGCAGCAGCAGCAGCGCATGGGATGGTAACACCAGGGGGAACGGCAGCAGCATTGAGAAAGGCAGTGGCAGCAATCACAGGCACGTTCCCCATCCCCAGCGCGAGGGTGTGAGTGCTGGCTCGAGTGACGCGAGTGGCGGTACAAGCAGCAGCACTTTTGGCGGCAGTGCTAGCGACGGCAACACCAGTGGTGGCAGCGCGAGTGTGAAGGCCGTTGGTGAAGTGCGGAGCACAGCGGGCAGCAGAGGCGGTGGCAGCGCTAACACAGCTGCCCCGCGATCGCCTGTCCTTTGTGCGACCTCTCCTGCCTCTGTTGTATCTCCCCCCCTTGCTCCCTTGCACGCCGCCCCACATGCCACAGCACATGCTGCAGCACCTGCCATGTGCCATGATGCCCATGTCCCCACGGATCCTGTCACCACTATTCATCCTCGCAACGATTTCTCTCACGCTGTTGCAAGCACTGCTGCTGATCCCAGTGCTGGTGCTGTTGCTGGTGCTAGTGCTGGTACGGATAGTGTTGCTGCTGTGGCAAGTCAAGGAGCAGAGGATAGTGCCGCAGAAACAGCAGCAGCAGCCGCAGCAGACGAGTCACAGATAGAGCATGGCAGAGTGGAAGCAGCAGCAGTGCCGGTTGCAGCAGGGGTGGGAGAGAGCGCCTTGCAGGAGGGAGCAATGGCGTGTGAGGCGGTGCCAGGCGACAGAGGGGATGGGATCAGTGTAGCACTGGCAGCAGGGACGAGTGAAGCACAGGGGGATGCGAAAGGCTGCAGTGGCAGCAGTGACAGGATTGGCAGCATAGCAGGCGCAGAAGCTTGCAGTACAATGGCAGCTGATTGCACAATGCCTAAACCCGAAGCCGCATCCACACCCATGCCCGCACCCACGCCGACTCCCACTCCCGAACCCCCACCATCTGCTGCTTCTCTGTCTCGTGCTGTTCACCACACTGCTGGCGAGCCGTCGGCTGAGCAGAGCAAGGCGGGTGGAGAGAGAGAGAAGGATGGCGGCGAGAGTGGCGAGGTGAAGACAGAGAGTGAGGGCAGGGTGGGCGGTGCAGGCAGTGCAGCAGAGAGCGGAAGGGAGTCCGCCCCCATAGGAGTGGAGGCGTGCTTAGGGGGCAGCACAGCGGTCCCTCCAGACCCTTTGAGAGTGCATGTGCCGGTGCCAGATGGCACTGCTGATGCAAGCACTGCTGTAGCCGGCACTGCTGTAGCCGGCAGTGCTGTAGCTGGCAGTGCTGTAGCCGGCAGTGCTCTAGCTGGCAGTGCTGTAGCTGGCAGTGCTGTAGCCGGCGGTGCTGTAGCCGGCGGTGCTGTAGCCGGCGGTGCTGTAGCTGGCAGTGCTGTGGCCGGCAGTGCTGTAGCCGGCAGTGCTGTAGCCGGCAGTGCTGTAGCCGGCGGTGCTGTAGCCGGCGGTGCTGTAGCCGGCAGTGCTGTAGCTGGCAGTGCTGTAGCCGGCAGTGCTGTAGCCGGCAGTGCTGTAGCCGGCGGTGCTGTAGCCGGCGGTGCTGTAGCTGGCACTGCTGTAGCCGGCAGCACTGCAGCTTCGAAGCCGGTGACAGCAGCAGTGGCAGTGGTTCCCCCAGGGGTGTCGTGCCTGGGGGATGCAGAGCCCAGCCTGAAGGTGCTGCTGCAGCCACTGCGCCTGTCCCCTCGCCGCTCCATGCGGCGCTCCCTCAGCAGCAGCAGCAGTAGCAGCCGGAATGGCGAGCTCGGCAAGGAGAGGAGGGGCGCACTGATGGGCGGGCAGGGGCAGGAGAACGGGGAGGGAGAGGGACGAGGGGGAGGGGTGGGCGGGTCAGAGCAGGTGGTGCAAGCGTGTGCACCGGCTCCGTTCAGGTGGCGGCCGCTCAAGGGCAGTTTGAGTGGCAGGCTGGGGTCGGGCAGGGCTGCTGCTCACGTGGCTCCACAGCTGCACCACTGAGGGGGGCATGCTGCTGTGGAACGCTGTTGCACTGGCAGGCTGCATGCTGGTGCAGAGGGCAGGAGGGGAGGGGGGACAGGGCAGCAGGGGGGACAGCAGTGTATCTATCGAGGCCACGGGCCCATGATGTCTATTCATGTAGTGACTCAGGTATGGTTCGCTGGAGAGCAGGCATGCCATCACTGGCCGCACATGTGCGCCACGCAACACATGAGCGCGTGCATGCATGCAGGCAGGCAGCAGTTTAGCAGGAAAATAAGGCATGCTTGCCCAGCTGCCCTTCTAATGTATTGGGAGGTTGCCTGCTACATTTTGTTAGGGATGTTACCCTGCAATTGTTAGTCAAATCACTTGACTAGGTACTAATTTATCTCGGGCGTTGTGGCGTATGAATATTATAAAAATGATAAGATAAGGTCATTCATTTTGATGGATCCATTGTTCATTCTTCATTGTACCGTAGGCGGCGGAACCAGACTCCAAACTGAACTGATGCTAATAAAGTATATAAAAGTATTTACACTAAGCACAGATCCATTTCGTAACTGTATAATTCATTGAAACGAAGCACGCCAGAATTCGTTAGGGTGTACGCTTCAGCAAACTCCTAACCCCAAACTCTGCTCAACCCTAAATCAGCCTTGTCGCTTCGCATCCACACTCCTATCCCCGACGAGTCGGCTCGGCATGACCTGTATGGAACCCTCGCCGTCCCCTATGCCGGCAGCGGACCCGCTAGCCGTTTTGCCGGCCAGCATCGACGCAGACGGCGAGTCGGACGCTCCGCTGTCGGCGGCGTCGCGGCAGCTGCTGCTCGACACGCTCTCGCGCCTCCAAGCGGACGACTCCGCGCAGCCTTCCGCTGCCGCCGCCGAGGGGGATGACGTGGAGGACGATGATTGGGCGGAGGAGGATGGCGAGGTGGAAGAAGAGGTGCTGGACGCGCTCGATTGGCTGGACCTGAGAGAAGGTAGCTGATTGGCTGGACCTGAGAGAAGGTAGCTGATTGGCTGGACCTGAGAGAAGGTAGCTGATTGGCTGGACCTGAGAGAAGGTAGCTGATTGGCTGGACCTGAGAGAAGGTAGCTGATTGGCTGGACCTAAGAGGAGGTAGCTGATTGGCGCGCTCTTAAGAAAGCTAATTGGCTGGAGCTGAGAGAAAGTAGCATAGAACGTCGTTTGGCGTTGCACGCGGGGCACTCAGTTTGCGCACAAGTCACCTCAGCATCATCGTGTGATTCCACCCCACCTAGCCCTCGCCGTCTTTCCGTCCCCACGCACCCTGCCGTTCCTCCGTCACTCCCGCGCCCCCTCACCCACGTTCCCTCAGATCTCGCTTCGCGAGGCAACACTGGCGGCGGTGCGTTCGGCGGCGGTTTCTCTGCGGCGCGGCGGCCGAACGCCTTCGGGGGGCAGCTGAACCAGGCGCACGCAAACGCCCGCGCGGCGGCGTTTGGGGGCGCGGGGAAGGGCAGCGGAGGGGGAGCGGGAGTGGGGGGCGCAGCGGGGGCGATGCAGCCGCGGGTGAACAAGCAGCAGCGGCTGACTGCGCGAGTCAACGCCGCGCCCATGCGGGTGAGGGGCTTGTCACTTGTGCTTTAGGGGTCGGGGTTTTGCATGCGAGGTTCAGGGTTTATGTGCGAGGGGTTGAGGGTCTAGGTTGATGCTTTTAATGTGAGGCGTTGAGCGTTGAGATGGGAGGACTCGGGCGTGGATGCTCATGCTGCTGCAGTGAACATGCTTCACATTCTACGATTCACCTTGTTTGGTAATGCGTGCTGACATGGCAGGATTGGGGCGACAGCTGTCAGCCGAACATGGCGAATGTGGTGATGACAGCTGTGCGCGACACGAACAAGCGGCAGGAGCAGGGCCAGTCGCGGTTGAAGGAGAAGGCAGACCGCGCCACAGTGGAGCAGGTGACTCTAAAGGGGGCTGGGGTGCATTTATGCTGTATGTTTTTCACGCTCCCATGCCCCCCTCCTCGCACGTCCTCTGATACCATTGGCCTTTCACAATTTCTGTTCTTCTTGCCCATCTCAACCCCAACAACCCCATTTCTTTCCTTCTTCTTCCCCCCAACCCACCCTCCTCTGCGCCCGCCGGCAGGTGCTGGATCCGCGCACGCGCATGGTGCTGTTCAAGATGCTCAACCGCGGCGTGTTCTCCCAGATCAACGGCTGCCTCTCCACCGGCAAGGAGGTAAACCACCATCACCATCACCATCACCATCGCCATCACCATCGCCATCACCATCACCATCACCATCACCATCACCATCACCATCCCCATCCCCATCCCCACCCCCATCCCCATCCCCATCCCCATCACCATCCCCATCACCATCACTCCCTATCCACCCTGTTTCTCAATGCCCACCCCCTCACCCACCTTGCCTGCCCCTCTATCCCCTTACACGCTGTCACGCCATGCCCCATGCCCCAACCGTGCTCCGCCATGAACCACCGCGCCCTCCCGTCAAGCGAATGTGTACCACGCCACTGCTATCATGCCACGCCTCATGCTCCCTCCCCGCCCCCCCCCCCCCCTGGCTCCTCTCCCCCCCCCAGGCGAACGTGTACCATGCCACGGTGGACCGCCCCTCTGCGCTGCACATGCCTGCTGCTCTGGGGATTGGGGGGGGTAGGGAGGGGGCGGGCGTGCAGGAGGGGGGGGAGGTGCAGGCGGTGAAGGAACTGGCAGTGAAGGTGTACAAGACGTCCATCCTGGTGTTCAAGTAAGCCCACTCGCCCTCCCCCGCCTCATTTGCCACCATCCCCGTGTTCTCTTCACTCTCGCGCTCCCCCTCGTGCGCTTCCCCTTATTGCCATTGGCCCCTGCGAACCGCCAACACCCCTCCCCACCCCCATCCCACGGTCCTAACGCGCAGGGACCGCGAGCGGTACGTGGCGGGCGACTACCGGTTCCGGCACGGGTACAGCAAGCACAACCCGCGCAAGATGGTCAAGGTGTGGGCGGAGAAGGAGTTCCGCAACCTCAACCGGTGCGTGCATGGATGGGCCGGCTACCATGCCTCCCTTGCTACGCTTGTTCCTTCCATCTGTCACTGATACGCTAGAGGCACTGCGCCGTGTGGACCTGCACAGCCCACCACTGCCCTGCCGTGAGGCCTCTCTCGCATCCTATTTCCGCATCCCTCACTCCGTCCCTCCATGCTTACCCTTACTGCGCGTTGCCACCTTCCTGTTGGTTCCGGCCGTGTGGCAGGTTGCGGGCGGCAGGAGTGACGTGTCCAGTGCCCCTCATGCTGCGCATGCATGTGCTCGTCATGTCCTTCATTGGTGCGTGTGGAGGTGAAGGGGGAGCATGCAACATTATTGTACTGAGCGCCTCAATGCTAGCTTTGCGTCGTGCTGTTGCTTATCATGACACTCGCAGTTGCTTCGCATTGTGCCACAACAGTCTTTCAGTCGTTTTGCACACCCATTGGAATCTCCAGCTCAATCATTTGAATCTCTTTGTGGCCATGGCATGGCATGGCACGGCAGGCACGGAGGGGTGGGGAGCGCCGAGGCTGAAGGACGTGCAGCTGTCGGAGGGGCGGTGGAGGGAGTGCTACGGGCAGGTGGTGGAGGCCATGTGGCGCATGTACCGCCTCTGCCGCCTCGTGCATGGCGACCTCAGTGAATACAACCTGCTCTACCTCCAGGTACCACCTCAATGAATACAACCTGCTCTACCTCCAGGTACCACCTCAGTGAATACAACCTGCTCTACCTCCAGGTACCACCTCAGTGAATACAACCTGCTCTACCTCCAGGTACCACCTCAGTGAATACAACCTGCTCTACCTCCAGGTACCACCTCAGTGAATACAACCTGCTCTACCTCCAGGTACCACCTCAGTGAATACAACCTGCTCTACCTCCAGGTGCGACCTGCTCTACCTCCAGGTGCGACCTGCTCTACCTCCAGGTACCACCTGCTCTACCTCCAGGTCCGTGCCACCTGCTCTACTTCCAGGTACCACCACTGCTTTATGCCTGTAGTCAAACTATATATATCTGTAACGGTATTCAAAGTTATGTCTACTCATGTTTCACGGTGCCCCACCATGCCCCTCTCTATGCGCCACTGTGCCGCCCACCAGGGCCAGGTGTGGGTGATAGACGTGTCGCAGTCGGTGGATCTGGACCATCCCAGGGCGCTCGACTTCCTCCGAGAGGACTGTGTGCACGTCACTGTGAGTGCATCTCATTGCGAATAATCCAGCCTTGCCGTTAGCACCCAGTGAAGTGCACAAGCCAGCAAAGTGCCACCCACGCCCGTTCTTTTGATCGCTTGTGCGATCCTCACTCCATCCTCCCAAATCGTCCCAAACACAGGATTTCTTTCGGCGAAAGGGCATGGCGGTGCTGACGGTGCGAGAGCTGTTTGACTTTGTCACGGACCCCGTCATGCCCGAGAACCTTGTGGATGAGTGCCTGCACAAGGTGGGTCCACTGCATGTGCTTGTGGGCATTTCTATGTGCGTGCATGTGTGTGTGGGTTTGGGTTATATGTTTCTGTTGACCCTATTTGTGCTTCCATGTTCATATGCTGTGCATGTTCCTAAGTGCACCACTGCAAATCCTCATATATCTCTGTGCATCTCTTTCTGTGCGCATGGCACGGGCAGTTGCAAGAGAGGGCAGCCAGCAGGCCGTTGGAGCCAACAGCACAGGAGGCCATCGCTGAAGCCGTCTTCCTGCAGGTTAGACTTGCCTTTCAAATCTCATTCCGCCTGCTCGTCCTTCTCCTGCCTCTGCATGCATCACTCATCCAGTCACCTCCTCAAGTCCCTCCGCACACACTCTTTGCTCTCCACCTCTTCCCCCTTTCCCTCGTACAGTCGTTCATACCGCAGTCACTGGATCAGGTGAAGGACGCGGAGAAGGACATCCGCCGCATCGCCTCCGCCACCAAAGCAGCAGCGCAGCACCTCGCAGCCGCACAGCCCGGGGGGGGTGCGCCCAGCAGCACGCAGCAGGGGGCGGCACAGGGTGAAGGAGGAGAGCAGGGCGCAGCAGTGGGTGCAGCGGCAGACGCAGCACCTGGCAGCAGCGGCAGTGCAGCAGCAGCGCCATCATCGGTGGCGCCCCCTCTGGAGGGCATCTTCTACCGCTCGCTGCTGGGGCTCAAGGAGGACCTTTCCGGCGTGCGCACCCTGCCCGACATCCTGCACGCCGCTGATGGGCGCGGTGTGGAGGAGGCGGGGCAAAGCGGTGGGAAGGAGTGTGAGGAGAGTCCGGGAGTAGTGAGGCCGGGAGGGGAGGGGGTGGAGGGGGAGGAGAGGAATGAGAGTGAAAGGGGCGGTGAAGGGATGGTGCCACGCGACCTGCGTGGGGGAGCAGAGGGGATGGAGGGCGGGGAGGAGCAGCGGAGTGAGGAGGGCAGTGAGGATGGGAGTGAGGAGGGAAGTGACTTCTCAGAGGATGAGGGAGGGGAGGAGGAGGGTGGAAGGCGAGGCAGAGGGGAAGCAGTGAGCAAGGAGGAGGTGAGGGCGGCACGCAAGGAGAACAAGAAGAAGGTGAAGGAGGAGAAGCGAGTAGCTCGACTCACCAAGGTGCCCAAAGCTGCCAAGAAGAAAAAGCAGAAGGCAGCTCAGAGCAAGAAGCGATGAGGGAAAGGCATAGGAGACGGTTGTGCTAGCATGGGAGTTGGCAAGCAAGGTTCCAAGCAGGCGTGCGCTGATTGTCGTGTTGAAGCCTGTGGGCAAATTGTTCAATTGTATGAAAGTTGAGCAAAACGTGTCACGCACCACTAGAAGTACCTTTCACAGACTCCTCATGGCACTGAAGCCCTTCGCTGAGTGCCCAAGCCCAAGGGCTGCACTATCTATTTGTGTGGTAGGTAACGATATATAAAGCACCACGTACCTTACCACGGTTCTCAAACCTGAACCTCCCAATCTCCCGCTCCGCCCAATGCCCTGAGAGCAACCTCGCAAGGACAGTAGATAATTGCTTCTCCAGTTTGTTGAAGCTGCTGGCTGCGTGTTTCAGTTGTAGGCTGCTTGCAGCTGATCCATGAGTCAGTTGTGATGGGGATGAGCGTGGTGTGGCACACTCAGCAATGTTCCACTGCCCGATCCATGCCACCAACGGGGGGCAGCGGGCCGTGTTGTGCAGCAACACACAGGGCATCCTGTCAGAGTGGAGTGGACACACAGACCACATCACATCACAACACATGCCGCTGCAAGCTCAATCCTGCAAGCTCTTGGTGGCAGCATCACTGTGCTTCCCCACCTCTTGTAAAATTATGTGGTTCTGTGGGATTTCTCTTGCTGTTGTGATGTGAGCAATAGTGGAAATGAGAATGGAGGGGCAACACCACTCCACTGATCCATTCATGCTGACCAATCGGACAGTGGGCTGTGCAGGAGCAGCACCAGAGCCTGGGTGGAGTGGAGAGGAGAGGATGCACGGAGTACATGGCACTGCAAGGACTATCCACACGCTCTCGGTGATTAGTGCCCTCGCGCTGGTAGACGTGTGCATCAAACCCAAAACGCAATGCCCTCATTACACAGCATCAAGAGTGCAAACATGGCATGGATGGAAAGGTTACTTGTTGTCTCCCACCGAGCCAGTGCAGGCAGGACAGGGCTCGGCATGCAGCTACATGTGTGCCAGCTCCACTGTGGCAACATCGTTCCTCTTGACCACCCAGTCCACCACTCCAAACTCTGCGAGTGCCTCCCGGCTGTTGGCCTGCGACACCACCACCACCGTGCGCTGTGGCAGCGACCTCAGCACTGCTGCCACCGCTGCCACTCCCTCATCGTCCAAATGCTGGTGGACGGGGGGCGATGGGGGGAGCAGGGGAGGGTTCAGGAACACAAGAGTTAGGACGGAACACATTGTGCAGGGCAGTGGTGCAGCATCCACACAGGAACACGAAGGATGCAAGGCAGGGAGAAGAGAGGGTGCGCAGATAGAGGAGCACTCCACGAGCCAGCACGTGGGCGAAGGAGAGGAGAGGTGAGGATCACACAGACGGCAGCACACGGAAGGAAGAAAGGCAGGGAGAGCAGAGGGATGAGCAGATAGAGGGGCACATGAACAGGCAGCAAGCAGCACATGAGTGGGCGAGGGGGGGAGGGTGTGGGGGGGAGGGGGCAGCAGCAGCGTGCCTGGAAGACCTCGTCCAGCACCAGCAGGTCGAACCGCACACCACTGCGTTCCGCCGCCAGCTCCGCAAACGCCAGCGCCAGGGCCAGCGCCACACGGCGCCGCTCCCCCCCGCTGAGCTGGCGCAGCGCCCGCGGGACGAGCTCCCCCGAGGCCAGGCGCACACGCACACTCTTGTCTATCCTCTCCAACACCTGCCCCGCCCCGCCGCTGCCATTTCCCGCCTCCTCTGCTGCCCCTTCCTCGTCCCCCTCTCCCCTTTCACTTCCCCCACTGTCGCTCGACGCTTCTGAGTCTGTGTTGCTACCCGCCGCCCCATTCTTCCCTGCCCCACTGGCCTTCCTTGACTTCTTCCCCCGGGCGGCCTTGGTGGCAGTGGCGGCGGCGCGCGTGGGCGAGAGGTGCAGGTGCAGCGCGCCCCCGGAGAGTGCAGCGAGGTAGCGCGCCACATGGGCGTCCAGCTCCCACAGTGCGCCCTCCAACACAAAGCTCTGCGGGGGGGGGGGAAGGAAGGGGAGAAGGAGTGGGAGTGAAAGGGGGAGGAGAGGGGAAGAGGAGGGGGAGTTTTCGGGTGTGGTCACTAGAGTGTAGTACCCGCTCGCCTGCGCTCCCCACCCCACCCCACCCCACCCCACCACACCTGCACGCCAGCGAGCCCAAAGGCGGAGTCCACTTGCTTCATGACCCCCAGCTGCGCCTCCCCCGCATCCACCTCCCCCTCCACCGCCTCCACCTCCCCCCTCGCCTCCCCCAGCATCTCCACCAGCCGCCGCCTCTCCCCTTCATGCGGGTTGCCCTCCGCCCGCTCCCTCTCCGCCTCCCGCCGCCACCTCTCCACCTCCGCCTGCGCCGCCTCCCCCGCTGCCAGCGCGTCTCTTGCCTCGCGGATCACGCCCGCCACCGCCTCCTGCCGCCACGCCCCAACGCCCTCGCCATCCAGGCCCGCGGTGGGAGCAGAGGTGGCGGGCAGTGGTTGGTGGCGGTGCAGGAAGAGCAGCAGTGAGTCTAGTGCCTGCGAGGCTGCTGCTGTGTAGCGCTGCACTGCCTTCAGCTGGCGTGGGGGAAAGAGAGGGACGATGGGGCAGAGATGGTGCAAAGAAATGAAGCTGGACGGACGCATGTGTTGGTGAAGGTGAGACGTGGCGAGGCTGAAGGCACAGGCTGACTGGTGCGCAGCGGGGCACAGAGCATGTGGCATTGAACGGTATCCTCAACTCAGTACACGCATGTGGCACTGTTGCCAGTGAGCAACGCCACACATCCACCCAGCCCGCACCTCCTCCTGCTGCGCCATGGCCGCTTGCTGCTGCTGCCTCCTCGCCTGCGCTTCCCTCTCCTCGCTCTCCCTCCTCTCCCTCCGCCGCGCCTCCAGCCATCCCCGCACGCCCACCAACTCTCCCTGCAGTGCCTCTTGCGCCTGCCAGCCAGGGGAGTGCACGAGAGGCACAACACGTGGAAGAGCGAGGGAAGCGATTTTGTGCGAAAGCTAGGTCCAGGCTCGATACTACAACTGCGGACCCTGTGTTGAGCTCTGAAGTGATATGAAATAATATGAAACATAAGACGTTGGGTTTGCACACAATAACTAGGCAAAGCATGACGGCGACAAACAGAAAAGACACGGATTTTTAAAAGGGAGACAAGCTCAACAAGGGCGTAACACAACAATAAATCCACCTGCTGCTTGGCTGCCAGCTGTCGCTGCGTCTCCTCCACCTCCGCCCTGAGCTGCCTGCTGCACTCCTGCGCATGCAGCGGATCAATGGGCTGCTGACACCTGTCACACACCAGCACCTCCCCTCCCCCCACCGCCCCCCCCACATGCGCCTCAAACTCCCCCAGCCGCTGCTGCTGCTCTCTCAGCCCCGCTCGCACCGCTGACAGCTGCAACAAGGGAAACACAGACAGCCCAATGAGCGAGTGGAGGGAAAAATCGGCGTGTGTGAGGGGCAAGGCAAGAGTCACTAAGCGAAGTTGAGGTTTTATTTCCCCTGTCTGCCTGAAATCTGGCCGGTTCTGAGCACAGCAAGCGACCACCCCTCAACCCCATCCATCCACCTGCTCCTCCCTCGCACCCACCTCGCCCTGCAGAGACGCGATCCCTGTCATCAGCGCTCGCTCCCTCTCCTCCATCCCCTCCTCCTCCTCGCCCCTCCCTGCCCTAGCTCCACCCACTCTCCCCCCACCTGCACCCCAACCCCCCTCCCCCTCCCCTCCAGAGAGGGAGGCGAGCACGGCGGAGTGCAGGGCGAGGGCGTGGGAGTGCGAGAGGGCCACGGCGGCCTGCAGGCGCGGAGCCACGAGGGACGCCAGCTGCTGGCAGGCTGATGCCAGCTGCTGCTCCGCCTGCCGCTGCTGCACTCCCACTCGCTGCTGCCGTGCCGCCCTGGTGGTGGGCGAGTGGATGGGACGGGCAGGTGAGGACGCTGGAAGGGTGGCGGGCGTCAGCACGCACTCACTCACCCACTAGAGACCGCCCTTTCAACACAGGCCGCCCACAGAACGTTTATGCAGGAGCATTGCACGTCGAGCAATGAGGCTTTTGAAGCGTCTCAAAAGCAAGTCGAGTAATAAGGTAGGTGGTGCAGAAAGCATGGGGATTGAAATGGTGAGAGTGGGCCGTGAAGGAGAAACAAGTGTGTGGCATGGCATGGAATGGCATGGTTCACCTGTGGTCTTCCCAAGTGTTGAAGGCACCCTCTGCTTCTTCCACCTGATATGGGGCCATGGGAGCAGGTAGCAGCATGGCAGGGAGTCATGTGATGCACCACAGAGTGCAGTGGCACGTGAGGGAAGAGGCGCATGGGGATGAGCAGAAATGACTCAACAGCCACATGACATGAGATGAGACGTGACAAGGGGACGCGATGACGACCAAGCTCACTACCAAAGCTGCTCACTTCCTTCCCCGCTCTCCCTTCCCCCCCCCCCCGTCTCCACCCACCATGCGCTCGAGCTTCTTGACGGCCTCCCTGCGTGCCGCCACGCCGCCCCTCATCTCCCCCACGCGCGCCTGCAGCGCCTTCACCGCGTCCTTGCTGCGCGCCCTGGCCGCCCCCCACACGTCCATGCCCACCACCCCACTCAGCTCCGCCTGGCGCGTGGGCAGGGGTGCGTGAAAGAGGTGCAGGGAGGGGTGAGAGAGGGCTCATGGAGAGGCGCAGAAGGAGAGACGCAGGGGAGCAAGAATGAGAGAGATGGGTGGGTGGGGCGTGGAGGTGGATTGAGTGGAGCGGTGGGGGCACATGCACGGTTGGTAGAGATAAGGAAGGCGGCATAGAATGGAATGGGCAGGAACGGCTGGCAGTGGGTGGAGAGGAAGCATGCGAGGGAAGAGAAAAAGGTGGATACAAGGAAGCATGCGAGGGAAGAGAAAAAGGTGGATACAAGGAAGCATGCGAGGGAAGAGAAAAAGGTGGATACAAGGAAGCATGCGAGGGAAGAGAAAAAGGTGGATACAAGGAAGCATGCGAGGGAAGAGAAAAAGGTGGATACAAGGAAGCATGCGAGGGAAGAGAAAAAGGTGGATACAAGGAAGCATGCGAGGGAAGAGAAAAAGGTGGATACAAGGAAGCATGCGAGGGAAGAGAAAAAGGTGGATACAAGGAAGCATGCGAGGGAAGAGAAAAAGGTGGATACAAGGAAGCATGCGAGGGAAGAGAAAAAGGTGGATACAAGGAAGCATGCGAGGGAAGAGAAAAAGGTGGATACAAGGAAGCATGCGAGGGAAGAGAAAAAGGTGGATACAAGGAAGCATGCGAGGGAAGAGAAAAAGGTGGATACAAGGAAGCATGCGAGGGAAGAGAAAAAGGTGGATACAAGGAAGCATGCGAGGGAAGAGAAAAAGGTGGATACAAGGAAGCATGCGAGGGAAGAGAAAAAGGTGGATACAAGGAAGCATGCGAGTGGAAGAGAAAAGGTGGATACAAGGAAGCATGCGAGGGAAGAGAAAAAGGTGGATACAAGGAAGCATGCGAGGGAAGAGAAAAAGGTGGATACAAGGAAGCATGCGAGGAAGAGAAAAAGGTGGATACAAGGAAGCATGCGAGGGAAGAGAAAAGGTGGATACAAGGAAGCATGCGAGGGAAGAGAAAAAGGTGGATACAAGGAAGCATGCGAGGGAAGAGAAAAAGGTGGATACAAGGAAGCATGCGAGGGAAGAGAAAAAGGTGGATACAAGGAAGCATGCGAGGGAAGAGAAAAAGGTGGATACAAGGAAGCATGCGAGGGAAGAGAAAAAGGTGGATACAAGGAAGCATGCGAGGGAAGAGAAAAAGGTGGATACAAGGAAGCATGCGAGGGAAGAGAAAAAGGTGGATACAAGGAAGCATGCGAGGGAAGAGAAAAGGTGGATACAAGGAAGCATGCGAGGGAAGAGAAAAGGTGGATACAAGGAAGCATGCGAGGGAAGAGAAAAGGTGGATACAAGGAAGCATGCGAGGGAAGAGAAAAAGGTGGATACAAGGAAGCATGCGAGGGAAGAGAAAAAGGTGGATACAAGGAAGCATGCGAGGGAAGAGAAAAAGGTGGATACAAGGAAGCATGCGAGGGAAGAGAAAAAGGTGGATACAAGGAAGCATGCGAGGGAAGAGAAAAAGGTGGATACAAGGAAGCATGCGAGGAAGAGAAAAGGTGGATACAAGGAAGCATGCGAGGGAAGAGAAAAAGGTGGATACAAGGAAGCATGCGAGGGAAGAGAAAAAGGTGGATACAAGGAAGCATGCGAGGGAAGAGAAAAAGGTGGATACAAGGAAGCATGCGAGGGAAGAGAAAAAGGTGGATACAAGGAAGCATGCGAGGGAAGAGAAAAAGGTGGATACAAGGAAGCATGCGAGGAAGAGAAAAAGGTGGATACAAGGAAGCATGCGAGGGAAGAGAAAAAGGTGGATACAAGGAAGCATGCGAGGGAAGAGAAAAAGGTGGGATACAAGGAAGCATGCGAGGGAAGAGAAAAAGGTGGATACAAGGAAGCATGCGAGGGAAGAGAAAAAGGTGGATACAAGGAAGCATGCGAGGGAAGAGAAAAAGGTGGATACAAGGAAGCATGCGAGGGAAGAGAAAAAGGTGGATACAAGGAAGCATGCGAGGGAAGAGAAAAAGGTGGATACAAGGAAGCATGCGAGGGAAGAGAAAAAGGTGGATACAAGGAAGCATGCGAGGGAAGAGAAAAAGGTGGATACAAGGAAGCATGCGAGGGAAGAGAAAAAGGTGGATACAAGGAAGCATGCGAGGGAAGAGAAAAAGGTGGATACAAGGAAGCATGCGAGGGAAGAGAAAAAGGTGGATACAAGGAAGCATGCGAGGGAAGAGAAAAAGGTGGATACAAGGAAGCATGCGAGGGAAGAGAAAAAGGTGGATACAAGGAAGCATGCGAGGGAAGAGAAAAAGGTGGATACAAGGAAGCATGCGAGGGAAGAGAAAAAGGTGGATACAAGGAAGCATGCGAGGGAAGAGAAAAGGTGGATACAAGGAAGCATGCGAGGGAAGAGAAAAAGGTGGATACAAGGAAGCATGCGAGGGAAGAGAAAAAGGTGGATACAAGGAAGCATGCGAGGGAAGAGAAAAAGGTGGATACAAGGAAGCATGCGAGGGAAGAGAAAAGGTGGATACAAGGAAGCATGCGAGGGAAGAGAAAAAGGTGGATACAAGGAAGCATGCGAGGAAGAGAAAAAGGTGGATACAAGGAAGCATGCGAGGGAAGAGAAAAAGGTGGATACAAGGAAGCATGCGAGGGAAGAGAAAAGGTGGATACAAGGAAGCATGCGAGGGAAGAGAAAAAGGTGGATACAAGGAAGCATGCGAGGGAAGAGAAAGGAAGGTGGATACAAGGAAGCATGCGAGGGAAGAGGAAAAAGGTGGATACAAGGAAGCATGCGAGGGAAGAGAAAAGGTGGATACAAGGAAGCATGCGAGGGAAGAGAAAAAGGTGGATACAAGGAAGCATGCGAGGGAAGAGAAAAAGGTGGATACAAGGAAGCATGCGAGGGAAGAGAAAAAGGTGGATACAAGGAAGCATGCGAGGGAAGAGAAAAAGGTGGATACAAGGAAGCATGCGAGGGAAGAGAAAAAGGTGGATACAAGGAAGCATGCGAGGGAAGAGAAAAAGGTGGATACAAGGAAGCATGCGAGGGAAGAGAAAAAGGTGGATACAAGGAAGCATGCGAGGGAAGAGAAAAAGGTGGATACAAGGAAGCATGCGAGGGAAGAGAAAAAGGTGGATACAAGGAAGCATGCGAGGGAAGAGAAAAAGGTGGATACAAGGAAGCATGCGAGGGAAGAGAAAAAGGTGGATACAAGGAAGCATGCGAGGGAAGAGAAAAAGGTGGATACAAGGAAGCATGCGAGGGAAGAGAAAAAGGTGGATACAAGGAAGCATGCGAGGGAAGAGAAAAAGGTGGATACAAGGAAGCATGCGAGGGAAGAGAAAAAGGTGGATACAAGGAAGCATGCGAGGGAAGAGAAAAAGGTGGATACAAGGAAGCATGCGAGGGAAGAGAAAAAGGTGGATACAAGGAAGCATGCGAGGGAAGAGAAAAAGGTGGATACAAGGAAGCATGCGAGGGAAGAGAAAAAGGTGGATACAAGGAAGCATGCGAGGGAAGAGAAAAGGTGGATACAAGGAAGCATGCGAGGGAAGAGAAAAAGGTGGATACAAGGAAGCATGCGAGGGAAGAGAAAAAGGTGGATACAAGGAAGCATGCGAGGGAAGAGAAAAAGGTGGATACAAGGAAGCATGCGAGGGAAGAGAAAAAGGTGGATACAAGGAAGCATGCGAGGGAAGAGAAAAAGGTGGATACAAGGAAGCATGCGAGGGAAGAGAAAAGGTGGATACAAGGAAGCATGCGAGGGAAGAGAAAAAGGTGGATACAAGGAAGCATGCGAGGGAAGAGAAAAAGGTGGATACAAGGAAGCATGCGAGGGAAGAGAAAAAGGTGGATACAAGGAAGCATGCGAGGGAAGAGAAAAAGGTGGATACAAGGAAGCATGCGAGGGAAGAGAAAAAGGTGGATACAAGGAAGCATGCGAGGGAAGAGAGAAAGGTGGATACAAGGAAGCATGCGAGGGAAGAGAAAAAGGTGGATACAAGGAAGCATGCGAGGGAAGAGAGAAAGGTGGATACAAGGAAGCATGCGAGGGAAGAGAAAAAGGTGGATACAAGGAAGCATGCGAGGGAAGAGAAAAAGGTGGATACAAGGAAGCATGCGAGGGAAGAGAAAAAGGTGGATACAAGGAAGCATGCGAGGGAAGAGAAAAAGGTGGATACAAGGAAGCATGCGAGGGAAGAGAGAAAGGTGGATACAAGGAAGCATGCGAGGGAAGAGAAAAGGTGGATACAAGGAAGCATGCGAGGGAAGAGAAAAAGGTGGATACAAGGAAGCATGCGAGGGAAGAGAAAAAGGTGGATACAAGGAAGCATGCGAGGGAAGAGAAAAAGGTGGATACAAGGAAGCATGCGAGGGAAGAGAAAAAGGTGGATACAAGGAAGCATGCGAGGGACGAGAGAAAAGGTGGATACAAGGAAGCATGCGAGGGAAGAGAGAAAGGTGGATACAAGGAAGCATGCGAGGGAAGAGAGAAAGGTGGATACAAGGAAGCATGCGAGGGAAGAGAAAAAGGTGGATACAAGGAAGCATGCGAGGGAAGAGAAAAAGGTGGATACAAGGAAGCATGCGAGGGAAGAGAAAAAGGTGGATACAAGGAAGCATGCGAGGGAAGAGAAAAAGGTGGATACAAGGAAGCATGCGAGGGAAGAGAAAAAGGTGGATACAAGGAAGCATGCGAGGGAAGAGAAAAAGGTGGATACAAGGAAGCATGCGAGGGAAGAGAAAAAGGTGGATACAAGGAAGCATGCGAGGGAAGAGAAAAAGGTGGATACAAGGAAGCATGCGAGGGAAGAGAGAAAGGTGGATACAAGGAAGCATGCGAGGGAAGAGAAAAAGGTGGATACAAGGAAGCATGCGAGGGAAGAGAAAAAGGTGGATACAAGGAAGCATGCGAGGGAAGAGAGAAAGGTGGATACAAGGAAGCATGCGAGGGAAGAGAGAAAGGTGGATACAAGGAAGCATGCGAGGGAAGAGAGAAAGGTGGATACAAGGAAGCATGCGAGGGAAGAGAAAAAGGTGGATACAAGGAAGCATGCGAGGGAAGAGAAAAAGGTGGATACAAGGAAGCATGCGAGGGAAGAGAAAAAGGTGGATACAAGGAAGCATGCGAGGGAAGAGAAAAAGGTGGATACAAGGAAGCATGCGAGGGAAGAGAAAAAGGTGGATACAAGGAA